CCGGGACATGGCGGGCTGAGGCGCGGAGACCCCCCGCGGCCGTCCGCGACGCGTTGGGGGGCGCGGCTGAGGGAAGAAGGAGCTGGGCTCAGCCCGACCCCGCCCCGATGTCCTCCGGCCAGGCGGCAGAGGCGCCGGGCACCATGCACTCCAGGGCCTGCGCGGCTGCCGCCTCCTCTCCCGTCCCCCCTTCTCGTCCCTCAGGCCGGAGGCGGCCCCACGGACGGAGAAAACTTTCTCTGAGGCGGCCCGGCCAGGGAGCTCCGGGAGAGGGCGGGCGGCTGGTGCGGGCGGGCGCCTCCAGGCGAGGAGCGGCGCGGGCGGGCGGGTTCGGCGAGGGTATCTACCAGCCGGCTCTTCCACAGGGATGAGTCAGCCTCGCGCCGCCCTCCGCCGGCGCCGCCCTCCTTGAGGGCCCGCTTTCCCACCCTCTGGTCTCCCCTGGTCCCCACTGGAAACTGCTCCCGCGCCCTCAAGGCGGCCGCGCTCTCCAGCCGCCGCCACCGCCGCCGCCACCCCTAGCGGCAGTCAACGGGGTAACAGGGCGGGGCGAAGGGGAAGGGGCGGGGCGGGGCGGGGCCGCGCAGGCGCAGTGGGCAGGCTGGCGGGCCGCCCCTCCCTCCCGACAGGGAGCGTGCTCCCGCGTCCCCGCCTCCTCCCATGCGTGAAGGTGGAAGGGGAGAGGGCGCGCACGTCTTCGCCTGGTTTCCTCCGCCTTCAAAGCCAACGGGGGTTTGTTAGGAGGAAGAGTTTTGGGCCGCTCGCCTGACCCGGTAATGCGCCTGGCACTCGGCCCGGGCCCAGCTCCATACCTAAATCTGGGACTCGTCCTGGGCGGTGCTCCAGCGTGCGGTCCCGGTGCCACGGGCCAGGCGGAGACCAGCCAGGCCGCTCCCGGGCGCAGCTCTGCGGCTCGGCGCCTCGCGGGGTCACAGCGCCCTGATCGGGCTTTGGGGTATTGTAGCTGCCTCACCATGCTCATTGTCAGGTCAGCACCCACCCTGTCCTGGGCCAGACACGGTGTACTCTAAAGGCAAGATGAGGCCAGTTCTGTCTTTTCCCTAAAAGGATTGGAGAGAGCAAATTGTTGGAGCCGAGGCTAGACTCAGGAAGCTTTTCCGTGTGCGTGTGTGTTTTCTCTACACCAAGGCGTAAATAATTCCGTGATTTCCACGTGTTAGGGTCCTAGGCATCTTTCAAGACCCAGTTCAAAGGTCTTCTACTACGATCTCTGCTTTATCTGAGACTAATGACACTTAGGCTGCTTGTCTTAAAGAATAGATCCACTTAGAGAATTAATCTACTCAAGTATAGTCAAGATGTAAGCTCTATACTGGTATCTGCAGCTGGACCCACCCAAGTCCTTGTATGTTGATATGCTGTAAACATGTAAGTGTAATATATAACCGTGAATTAAGGGAACAATGTTATCACTAAATCCTACTGCACTAACTCGGTGATCCTCCGAGTGGCGTGTCTGGGCAGCTAAGCTGGTTAGACATGGGAGTTTGTGTGCTCCACCTGAGACCTCCTCAATCAGAAACTGGACTGTTAGTCACCTGTGTTTAAACAAGACTTCTAGTTAATAATGACGCACACAAAAAGTATGAAAGCCAGTGCTTTAAAGAAAAATGGAACGCATTTTTTATGGATATGTGCTTAACTTAGATGTAAAGGGGTGGATAAATTAAAGTGCTACTTTACATAAAGATAGACCAAATGAACTTGAACTACTTCCATGGTTGTTCATTGGTTTAATGGGGACAGATATATATATATATAGTACAAATATATAATGCAATAATGACAATTAAAAATGGTCTCTGTGGAAAGGCTGGGTCTTTGTAAAGACTGTTTTCTCTGGCCCCAGTATGTGTTGGAATCCTCTGCAGAGCTATTTTTGTCCTAAGTTTTTTTAATTGTCACCATTCTCCCCATCCCCCGTACTCTCAAGAGATTCTGACTCTTGGACACAGAGCTATGCCAGGGAGGTGAAGTTTGAAAAAAGCTCCTCAATAAGAACACACCTCAACAGTCTCTCGGATCCCAGTTTTGTGTGTGGTCTCCAGAAACAGACTGCAGAAAGTGTGGTAACTGGATCAACCATTTCCTCGTTGTCTGTTAGTGGAAGGTTGTTCCATTGTTGGGCCCAATGAATCAGGTCTTGTGGTCCCAACTCCCTTGTTTAGGCCAATCCCACACTGACTTTGAATTTGGTCATGGGACTTCCTTTAGCCTGTAAGTAGGATATCACAATCCTGATCTGAAAAGTGCTTGCTTGTTGGGGCTTTTGCTAATATGCTTGCTTTATGACTTATGAATATTCAATCCTGGTATAGAAATAAGAGCAACTGAAATACAGATGCTTATAAAATAAATGGATATGTGCTCAACATAGATATAAAAAGGATGGATAAATTAAAAGGATGTACTTTACATAAAGATACACCAAGTGAGCTTGAAATACTTCCATGGTTGCTCATCTGTTTGATGGGAATCTTGCTCAGTTTGCTCATTTGTTAAATGAAGATTAAGAACATCTGCTTTATAGGGGATAGTACTCAATGAGTTCATACACGGCAAACATTTCAAACAACCTGGAATGTGTTAAGTGCTCAATAAATATTAGCTATTATCCAAATTTATCTCAAACCCGCAGGATTATATCTTCTAGCTTTGGTTTGAGAAATACCTACCTAGCCATGTTATTTCATACCTGGACTCGGAGTTGAACAGTAGGTTAAGGGAGGACTAGAAGTGGTGGCCAAGAGGAAGATTCTGAGAAATTTTGATGGTGCTCAGGAAGTAGTAGCAGCTCTGGAGAGTGTTACAGAAATGAGGGGTGGTCTGGGACTGATCCTTAGACTCTTAGCCACTGAAAGACTGGCAGAAGCAGGAGTCAGCAAGATGGGAGAAAGCTAGAGGACAATGGTGTTTACAGTCCTCTCTGTTCTCACCACAGAGGCGTGGCAGGATGCTCACCGGGTACAACACTGGCCATAACCTCTGGGACATTTTGACTGGGTCGTGTAACTTTCTCCTCTGCACCAGTACCAGTTGCTTGAGTAGTTTATGATAGTTGTATATAATTTAAACAAAGCTTTACCATAAGGACAGAAACTAGAGAGTATTTTTGGTAAGAAAAACTCTAAATCCTGAACCTATTATTTCTCTTTTGGGTCCTTGGCATTCCTCTACACTGATCATTCAGTACTACCCCCAATCATTACCTCTGTGGTATTTCATTTCTGAACACAAAATCTATATGTTAAAAATGCCATCACAGTGCAAGAGACAGGATCTCATAGAAGCATCATGGATAGTAGAGGAGGAGCTGTCATGGGAACTCAGTGTTCCTGGGCCAGCTTCACACTCCATGAGCCTCAAAAATAGCCCTGCAGGCAGTAAAGCTGCCTTCGCACACCCAACATAAAAAGTGCACATAAAAACCTTGTGGCACAGCAGGTTAAAG